TTCTAATCCAGTAATGTAAAAATATAAAGAGAGATAAATGGTAACAATAATTACATATAATAACAGCTAAAAAGTGGAAATTGTAACATTAATGAAAGGGTTAATTTGGTAAAACAGTACAAGAAAAAGGCCACTAGATGGCAGTAGAGGATAAGAAATCCACCAAAGGGGAGGAATGGTCAGCGAACACCATAGGAGGAGTTAAGGAGTAACGCCCACCTAGAAGGAGATAAGGAGGAGTTAAGATGTAACGCCCACCTGAAGGGAGGGACAAGTGGAGCTTAAGGTGAATATAAGGCGATGTTCGCTGACCACCAACTCGGTTCCATCCTGAGACCTGCAGGGATGTTGCTCGGGTTTATCTGTCCTTTATTGGAATAAACTCTTTTGCACCGACTCTTGACCGTCTCCAGTGAAGTTTTTGACTACGCCGTCTTTTGACTAAAGAAGATCTAATAGAGTAATTTTATTGAGTTTATTACGTTGGTTAGGGTAGGGACCAGGTCTTTTACTGGCCCGGCCGGTCCTTATTTCCGACCCGACAATTGGCGAGGCCAGCCAGGAGATTGAGTCCAGAGGCCGAGAGTTTCTGACCGGGACGGACAGCCTGTATCTGAGACACGTGGCCACATAGAAAAGGTAAGCAGAATACCTGTTTAACCAAAATTCTGCATTTTAACTGTGTCTGAATACGGGATTTTCCGCCCAGGTGTGAATCTTAAAGTCTCCTCAATCTTGAACCTAGAATAAATCTTGAGTGCAAAAAGCAGTAAATTAAGTATAAAATATTTTACTAAAAACGAAATTTGGATTGTAATGGTGAATTGAAACTAAATAAAGAAAGGAAGTGGACGCTGGAGGGTAAGAGTCGGTGCAAATCTAAATGCAGGCAAAATGCAATAGCAGCTAAATTTGCATGTGTGTGTGTGAACCATGGTGCGGAATATGTCTATGTCAAAGTGTGTAATGCTAGTAGAATAGATGCGCTTTTTGTGTTTAATTGTTTGCTTTTAAGGGTAAGTAAAATAAGTGTTTTCCAGCCATCATCGTGAATACCGCTGTTTTTAAGAATCGCAGCGCTTCGACTTAATGTCGGGGAGCTTCGATCCAATCAGAACAGGACTGCATAGGCGTGGTGAGCTGATGAAGAGATAAGAATTTAAAAAGCCATTATCGTGAATACCGCTGTTTTTTAAGAATCGCAACGCTTCGACTTAATGTCGGGGAGCTTCGATCCAATCAGAACAGGACTGCATAGGCGTAATGAGCTGATGAAGAGATAAGAATTTAAGCATTTTTGCGGATACCGCCGGATCGGAGAGTTGTAGGGTCACAGCTGAGTGCTGGGGCGCTCCACTTACTGGCTCGGGGCTGCATGGGCAAAAATAGGCTAATAAAATAGTCATCACGTGGCTACCGCGAGCTTATATCGCAGGATTTCAACTGAGTGTTGGGGCTCTTCGATGGTAGGTTCGGACTGAACGGGCGGATGTACTATAGCACGTTACCGCTAGGAGCCTAAATAGGACTGCGGCAGGATAGGAGAATAAACGTGCTTAAAGAAGTGTTACGCGCTCATGTTGAGGAAGTGAATTGAGTAGCGATTTATAAAGACAGATTTTGTGTTGAGGAAGTGAATCATTTCTGTCTAAGCCCTCATGTTGAGGAAGTGAATTGAGAGGCTATATTTATGTGTAAATTGGGCCTGTGTTGAGGAAGTGAATCAGGTCCACCAATTTGGAAATAAACCTAGGCAGAGTAAATTGAGTCTGTGTTGAGGAAGTGAATCAGGCTAATTAATTTGGAAATAAAACCTAGGCAGTGTAAATTAAGTCTGTGTTGAGGAAGTGGATCAGACTATTCAGCTGAAAGCCTAGGTAATGTACATAAAAATCAGAAGCCGGCAGGAGATAGGAGTCAGAAGGCGCACGTGCATGTAAATACTGCTGAAATAGAATAGGTAGAGTGAAGAGGGTAAAATATATACTTGAAAATATTTAATCAATGTAAAGTTAAAATTGAGTGTCTGAAAGTGAAAGGCGTGTAAAATAAATAATGTCTATATATTGAATTTGATTGACTAGTGTGAAAAAGTTGTTTAACAATTAAAATTTTGTAAATTTATTAAAGGCTTCTGAAGCAGCAATATTGATTAAATATTTGTGAAGAGAGGAATACTGATAGCTAAAATAGCTGTGGAAGAGAGATAAAGTGTATGGAAGAGGGAAATAGCAGTGAAGACGAGCTATTTTTGCCAGAACACTACACACAGGAAGGAGATATAGGAACACAAGGAATAAGAACACATTTTTGGTTGGAACGAACCTGTAAGGATGAGGATGGTGTAGAGCAATGGCAAACTGAACAAGAGATAAATCAGAAATTGTGGCAGTTGACAAAATTCATTAATTTGGCACAAGTGCAGGACGAGTTTCCTGACGTGCCGTGGAAAGAGGTGATACGTAGGTGGTGGACACCAAAGACACTTGCAATAGTGTTGGAGCGGTTGTGCAATAACCCTAGTGCTACTGTAGCCATACCTTTAGGTCCAGCATTAGGACTGCCCGCAGGGTATGGTATACCAGGGCGCAATAGAGTGACCTCAAATCCACGACTGAGCTTCACAATAGTCCCTAGGAGAGTTAACTGGGAAACAGGCAAATTTGGGTGCATTACAAAAACACCAGCAGGAGACGGAACGGATAGATTAGAATACAATCCCACAAGGGAAAGGAAATATAAGCCAGGAGTTACAGTAGATAATACTGGTAACAATAAAAACTAAAGACACAGACGAGGAACCAGAGATACGTAGAACAGCACATAGTGTAAGACAGGGCTATATGGGGGCAGGAATGGTGAAGGAACAAGGGAACGCAACTCCAATGGGAGTGGTGATAAACAATCACCAAGATCAAAAGAATTTATTGAAAAATGCATGAAAAAGTGGCATGGGAGAACAAAAGGAAAACTAAAGTGGCCTTTACAAGGCACCTTCATGGAAGCATACTGTGATGAAGTGGCAACAAATATAAAACACCATAAGTCCAGAGACACAAGTGAGAAAAGAGAAGGAAAGCGTGCAAGGGAAAGAGAGGTGTTAGGTTGGTTTAAATTTGAAGGGTATCGACACATGCATAAAGATCAACCCCCCAAACCTCCACCAGCAATTAAGAAAGTAATGATAGAACAGGAAGTGAAAACAAACCAGGAACAGCAGAAGGCCACTGCACCTGAGTGGTCAGCCAAACCACCACCGCCTTATGCCCCAGATAGTCGCACACCTAGGACAGGTATTTATCCAGTACTAGAGACACTTGAGGGAGAGGAAGACAAGAAGTAGAGGGAGAGCTGCAGGGAAAGTTTACGATGACCCTGACCAAGCAGACTCACAACAAAGAAAAAGACAGAGGATGGACTGCTAATGCTGAGGAAGATCAACAAGAGAAATGACAGCAGAAGAGATGGAGAATGAAGAGGGAGGAGAGATGGACTGGTGCCAAAGAGAGCGCACGCCTAACCCTGCAACGCTTCATCTATTGGGCAAGGAGTCCAGAGGAACAAACCTCAAGTTTTCTGAGCATGAGCGAAGATTCACAAGGAAGAAGAGACAGAGAAAACTACTACCAAGAGGTGAGAAGAGAATTCAAGCCTGAAGTAATGAACAGGTGATTACTGGCTAAAGGAAGTAGGTGCTCAGACATCACCAAAGAAAGAAAGATGGGAACCAGATGACAGCAGCAGAAGACCACCAGCAGAGATACAGCTGGAGGAGAAGAATACACCCCACTCAGCTGTCAGATTTGCCAATCACAACAAAGCAACACAACAGGAAAGGCTGAAAAGACGACAAAATGGGAACAGGCCAGCCCCAAGACACGGAGGAACGCATGAAGGAAATGAAGACACTGGATGAGACCATCCGTAGAGAGGAGG